GTATTCTCTATCGCCGAATTCCCCCATAAGGTGTTGCTGATAGAGGCCCAGGTGGCAAATGTCGTGGGGTTGGACAGAAACTTAGGTCGACGAAGGGCGTGCTATCAATAATATCAAACTACTGCATGACGACGCAAGGGTGCAGATCCCGGTGACCGAGGTGAGAAACTACGAAGGCGGAGATGAAGTAGAAACATGAGGTCGACAGCCGGTGCTCATGTCTTGAAAGAGTTGGGAACGATGTGGGCGGGTGAGGCGACGATAGGAAATAAGGACTCAGTGCTGTTAGATTTGACCTTTGATGTCAACCCTGGAAAATGCTGCCTTCCTCGGGCCCTCGAATAGCTCTTTAGCTTTTCCGGTCAGGAACATAACAGTTCCCTCGCGATCCTCCAGTAGATCCTGGCCCTGGTAGTCGAGGATGAATTGGGCAGCATCCGCATCCGACTCAAAGTACAGCTCTTCCGTGACGAAGCGCAGCGGCACATCAGGTTTATACCTAATTGGAGTCAGGAACACATCTCAGTACATGGAGGGAACGGAAAGTACATACGCCTTACAGATGTTGCAAAGAGCGGCAAGGCGTTCACGGCCAACGAACATATCCATAAGATATGCACCCATGTTGGGCGTGTCGTTGTAGAGCCGGAAAAAGCGGTGGTAATTGCCAAGTGCCAAAGCGGATCGGACGTCAAGCGCATGCTTTATGGCTTCTTCCTCCTTCTCTGCTGCAGTTAGATCCGCCAGGACGTCGTTTAACGCCGTGCGGTTAGCGGTGTGGATGAAATACAAGATACGATACGCCTTGAACTCAATCGACTTCCCCTTGATACCCATTTTGTAGAGGGCCTTGAGCTGGGTCTGACATTGATTATACTCACCGAGGTCCCCCTTCTCCAAGGCAATCCGAGCATGAATTTCGTAGACTTCTACGGTAAACTCATTTTTGATGCGCTGGACTGTCAAGTCCTGACGCATGGATTTGAACTGATCGCAGATGTACGAGTAGTTTTGCTCCTTCTTCCACTTTCTCTTGAGCAGCTCGAGCGTCTGGCGCAGAACCCGCTCTGGTCGTACCACGGACGGAACGGGCGGCGCCGTCAGACGGAGATAGCGCTTCTCCAGGGTCTCGCATGTACCGACAACCGGGCCGTCGCTGGGAGGCGGCGTCGGCTCGCGATATGTCGACTTGTAACCTCCGTCGAAGCGCTTTTGACGTTTCTCCAACTGCTTCTGGAACTTACTTTGTGTCTTCGACTGGGCTTCCTCCACTGGAGCTGGGCGTTTATCAGCATTGAATGTAATGCGGTCCTCAAGGCGATTCTGTCCGTTCCGCCAAGGGGGTGCGGCGCCCTCGCTGAAGTCTGTAGACTTGCGCTTCTTGGAACTGGATGGGGAAATGGAAAGGGCCGAGAAATGAGATGCTTGCTGAAGGGCCCTGGCTCTAGCACGCTCTTCTTTGATCATCTCTTGCGGCAAGGGCATTTTCTCCCAGTTCACAGTGTACATGTGGCCCTGGTCGTTCGCGTACGAGATGGTTTCCTTGAGCTTGGCTTCCATTTCGGCGCGGGTGACGGATGGATCTAGGTTGGAGATCTGGAAAGAACGCTGCACGTAGTTGCGCACAGATTCCGGCCAGTCGATCTTTTTCTTTGCGGGCTCTTGCGTTGTGGTGGGCCTTGCGGCAGTCAAGGGCGCGGCTGGATTAGTGTGAAGTGGTGTTGCAGGAGGAGGATTTATAGGAAGAGGGCCGTAGGCAGGTAGGGGAGGATAGGAAGCGGGTGGTGCGGCGGAATAAGGTTGACCGAAGGTTTGGCGGACCTGAACTGGAGTGAACGCGGTAGTAGCTGGGGGAGGAGAGGTGAAACAAACGTCAGCGACGGCCACGAGCAGTGTCGGGACGGGGCGGCAGGAGTGAATCGCAAGTCAAGAAATGGGATGAAATCTGTAGGACACGGCAGAAGCATACCAGAGTACGGATAAGCCGCCGGCGGCTGCGTGCCTGGCGGAGGAGGTTGAGCGGATGACCACTGCATGTTGCTCGTCTGGAATCGATGGGGTTGTCGAGGGAGAGTTGAAGCACACGACGAAACAAACAACGACGGAGCAAGAAAAGACGATGCCAACAGATTAAACAGAACTCGCTGGCAAACAACAAAGTCGTGCTACTCGTGTGAACCCAAGGTTCAAAACTAGCTATGGAACTGAGCGTATAGTCGTGGGCGGTGGTGAGGGGATGGTTGCCGATGGTACTAATGATGGGCTGAAATTGATGCAGTGGGCGGTGACAAGAAACGTGCAAGGTTTCGTTGATCAAAAGGCTTCTCTTCAACGAACCTAAGTGACAGTGTTCAACCTCGATAGGGTGGCAGTGGCCCAAAAGTTGATCGGGCGTGGGTTCGTTGCATTCTGTGAACGGGACCAAGCCGGCCGCCATCAGATTCCACTTACTAGCCACCGCACGGGCTGCATGCTGCACCTGTCAACACCTGCTGTCTGTCATCTTGAGTCCGTGTTAGTGCAGCTGTATCACAGCCACGTGGGTAGCCCCATAGTGTACATGGCCGCTATCTACCGCAATCGCCGCCAAGATGCCATCTAGTCCCAAGTCGACAACAACCCCCGCCGACATCATTCAGCAACCCGACCACCACTTCAGTTCCAAGTTGTCGATCCTCTTTTCACTCTTCTATAACCCGACTCCTCGAAAGCCCAAACAGCTTTCCCCCAGCTATGACGAATGTTTCTAAAGAATCTCGACCTCACCACTGCCTTGCGGCCGTCGTACCTGCCCGATGAAGATTTGCTCTTTGTCCAGGACAATGTGGGGTTGTATGAGGGGTGAGCATATGATCCCAAGTTCCTCTTCCTTCCCGCCACCATCAGTCCTTAAGCCTTTTACTTTGTTTACTTGAAAGTTCATGTGTTTGTGTGAACCCTTCGACTGACTTATTCGCCGTGCCTTTATCAGCAAATACAAGCTGCCCAACCAACAAAATGGCCAGGTTTACCTGACCTCGCACCGGATATGCTACGTCGACAAGACGGAGCCCAGAAAATACTCTGCCGCTTTGGATCTCAAAGACATTGAGCGCTACGAGTTCTACGTAATTGCGCCTTTCCCAAGGAACATGCCGAATGATCAAAACTAAATGCTAGCATGTGATGTAGGCCGGATTTCTCAAGTCGTCGCCCAAAATCACCTTGGTGCCCAAGGCCAACAAGCGAGCATCCCTCCAGCCATCGCGCAATGGAAACGCTTCACCGGCGCAACGTGTAGACAGCCCCTTTCGTGCACCGCCCGTTGATACACCTCCAGCGAGCTCAGCGACATGGGTATGTACCATCTGCAGCTTCTCCAACCCAGTACCGTCCAATTTCGATCCGACGACGGCAAGTGAACATACGTCCCTCCCTCCCTGCTTAGCTTGTGGTATCAAGCCTACCTTGACCCATATTCTCAAGGCGACCATCTCGAATGCGACAAGTCGACAGCCCGGTGGCGGACCTGCCATCTACCCTCCGCTTCCTGACCGATCCAAGCAAGGTTCCGGTTCAACGGCACCAGCGACTCAGACATCTCCATCGCCTTTTCAGGCAGCAGACGCGAGCGCATCTTTCCAGTGTCCAAGATGCACCTTTCTCAACCATCCCTCGCTGATGTCATGCGAGATGTGCGGAGGGCCACTCATCTCCAACGACTTGCCTGCTGAACTCATGCAACAAAGGCGGGAGACTGACTCGCCCGGCCCAGTTCTGAGCAGTCTGGCTCCCAAAAGCGAGGCCCTCGAAAGCGTCAAGATTTCCTTTCGCGGAGGCGGAGAGAAGATCTTCTACGAAAGGCTCAAGGGATCAATGACCCAGCGCAAGTGGCTGCTTCAGGGCGCACCTCCGATTCCCAAAACCTCTTCAAATGGGTTAGGGGTAGGATCTGGTTCTGGTGGAGGAGCAGGCGGAGGAGTCGGCTCAGGTGGAGGCCAGCCCGAACGGGTAAAGATCGCGGGAATCGCAGGCCTCGAACAGCGCGGCCAATCCATGCGCAAGAATAACGAGATCGTCATCGGAAACGCATTCGAGGACCTCGAAGCCCTGATGGCCTCCGCCAAGGACATTGTGGCCCTGGCAGAAACCTTTGCTCGCCAAGTCAAGGGTGCAGGAGGCGCCTCCTCTGGCAGCGAAAATGCGCTGCTCGCCGAGTCCGCCAGCCAGCTTGGCCTCATTGCTACCAAGGACATTGTCGGCAGTGGCGGCGGCGGCGACTCGCTCTATCTGTCCGAACTTGCCCGTACATTGGCCGAGTTCCTCACGGACGATGCGCGAGGCGTGCTGAGGAAAGCAGGTGGGATCATCTCGCTTGTCGACCTCTGGGCCATGTTCAACCGGCTTCGCGGAGGTGTGGAGCTGGTCAGCCCTGCGGATTTCGAAAAGGCGGTTAACTTGTGGGACAAGCTCGGGTTGCCCGTCCGGCTGCGCACGTTCAAGTCGGGCGTGAAGGTTGTTCAGGGGCGCGACCGGACGGACGAGACGACCATCAGGGCGTTGCTGGCCTGGATGCAGGATTTGCACAATTTTCCGCCGGACCGGGAGGTGGCGTGGGACTGGCGCGAGTTTGGGCGTGGCGTCACCGCGAGAGATGCGGCGGAGAGGTTCGGTTGGAGTATAGGTGTCGCTGAGGAGGAACTTGAGATGGCGGAAGAGCGTGGCGTGTTGTGTCGCGAGGAAGGCATCGAGGGGCTGAAGTTCTGGGAAAACTTTATTGACACGGGAGAAGGTGCTTCTAGGCCACATCCGGTGAAGGAGGACAACGAGAGGCTTATGAAGGCGTTGAAGGAGAGCGGCTTTTTGTGAGGTGAGTAGTAGGTGCGTTGCCGTTCAGCCCATGGGGTTCCTAGCATCATGACGAAATGGCTTCTACGTTAGATCTGTCTGCTATTATGATAGAACCGATAAAGTTGACAGTAGCCGTTACAGAAAAGCATAATTCCACATAACTCAGTCATCTCTCCGTGTACCATTAGAGGTTGCCGCTTCTTTCTACACCATATGATACAGCCAAAACTGGCTTTCTAAGACCACAAGCCCACAAGCAAGAGACGACGCCAAAACCCATGAAATTGAAGCACCAGAGAGCATTCCCAAACGCCTAGCCTCTATCCCGACACCTGCCGCCGCTCTATGCAGCTTTATACTCATCTTCACAAACGCAACAGCAACACACATACACGCCCATCTAACCATCCATCCATCCTCAAATCCCCAATCGGGGCACGCTCCCTCACCCCCATCGTCTAACTCAACCTCTCCATCAAACCCTTCCTAACCTTCATATTAACGACCCCACCCACACCAAAAGCCGGCACAATCCTACATATCCTCGCCGCTACACTAACCGCCCAATTCTTTTTCACCAACGACCACCTCTCTCCCCAACTCGGCGCAGCTCCCGAACCACCCGAGGGGCGATTATACATGTCCAACCCCAACAGATGCACGGGCGTGCTGAAAAGCTGCACCACCGCCGGCGCCGCAAACTGCGCCATCGTCTGTCCGCTGACCCATTTCTGCGCATCCTTGCTTAACCTCTCCGTCAACACCGGCCCAAGCAGAGGGGGAACATTGAAACTCGCAAAAATCGTCATGCAATCCCTGGCCGCAAACAGGAGATAGCTTGGCAGTCCCACGGGTCTGGGTGTAGCGCCGGGGGGTCCGAAGAGGCGGACAAAGACTTGGTCTTTGTAGATGCAGAGACCAATGTTGGCGGCGGAGGAGGCGAAGAATTTGGAACTGCCCGAGGTGACGTGCGCTGGGTTGGGGTTGTTTTGAACAGTGGCGACGGTCGTGTCCAGCGTGTTGGCGGTTAGGTAGGTGCCGCCGTACAAGAGGAAGATGAGGCCGAAGGGACGGGAGAGGATGGTGGACCGGGGAGAGGAGAGAAGGGAGCGCAGGGAGCGGCGGAGGGAGGTGAGGAGGGGGGCGGCGCCGGAGGCATTTTCCATTATTGAGCTGTAGAGGAGGGAAGAGGGAGTTAGTTATAGGTTTGGAGGAGCTGAGGGAGAGAAAAAGGGGAAAAAAAAAGGGTAAACAAGACGTACCGGTCAATGATAGAGATAACAGGCGCAACAAGCACAGCTGCCGCAGCGGCACTGACGAGGTCAGCACCCAGTCGTAGGCCGAGGTTTTTGGTGTTCCATTTTGATGTTGTGCTTGTCGAAGCTGTTGGTTTCGTGTCGACGACATCACCGCCATCAGCCCCAAGCAGTGCGGCGCGAGTCTTTTGTGATTGTGTTGCCAGGCCGGCGAGATGTGAGTGCGACGTCTTGAGTCCGGCGGCAGTATCTAACGGCGAGGCGGCCGAGACCGGGCCTTGGACCGGGACCGGGGCCGGGGTGCCTTCTTTCATGTCGGAGGCGGAGGCGGCAACCAGGGTTCTCCACCGGTGGCAGCGGGTTGTTTCGGGGAGGTTCTGGGATCGCGGGGTGTGGGATGCCGAATGCGATCGGGGCGGGGGCCGGGGACAGCGGATGCGGAGAAGAAGGGCCGAGGAAGGGCCTGGTGATTGGAGACGAAGCGCGATTGGACACCCCGGAGGACAAAGCCAAGAAATTGGAATCGAAGACTTTTAGCTCAATGACTAATGCTGGACTGGTGGCAAAGTGTTGAGGGCCGGATGACGACGGTATGGATTCAAGTTCTGATAACGACAGTGAGCTGAACTTGGCGTGTATGTAGCAGCGTTGTGGTCGCAGAGATGGAGCACAATGGCCGACAAGGTGTTTCAAACTGTAGGAAATGTGTGGTTTGAAGATGAGAACGGGAAGTAAGATAAAAGAGATGAGATCCGGGCCCGATCGGAATTGTTCACTTCAAACAAACGGAGAAACCGTGGCTGAAATAGAAGAAGGGCACAAGATAAATGTTATGGCTGGCCCGGCTGTTGACTCGGAACCAGTTCACCGCAGTTCCCGTCGTCCATGAACTTCAGCTTCCGAATGAATATGGGCAGAGGACCATCTGGATATCGGTGTATTGTACCGAGTATGGAGCTATGTACATAGCAGGTAGAAGAAGTGCTCTGGTGGTCACACCCGACTTTCACAATCGTTTGATTTTCCACTTCGGCCCGGCCGCATCGGAGCTTCATACGCTTCTTCCCGCCTTCTCGACTGTCTGGGCCGGTCTAGTGCCTGACCACGGGCCCGTCTGATCTCCAAATTCTCTGCAACAGCTCCGCACTGGTCAGGGTCTGTTCAGGGCCCTCAAGGTCGCAGAGCATGGGTTGAAGCCCCGAGATCGGACTGAGCTCAGACTGGCTAACGTCAGCCGAGATGCGATGAAATGCCCGTGCCCATGTTTCCCCTGGTGTGCCGAGACTTTTTATCAGATCAGATCGAACTATGACCAGGTGCTGTGGGGCCTGAAGCGGCCCTACACTACAACTACCTACTGTACCTACGTCACGCAGGCTACCTACCATGCCGGTGTGGGAATCTGTAATCAATTCCGATCAACCCTTCACGGTTCTTAAAGTCCAGTCAGGTCTGGATGGTCTTGGACTTTGTGACCATTCATGCTTTGTTTGAACTCCCGCATTATCCAAACCATCATCGCTAACATCCAAGCAGAAACAAACACAGCAGCCAAGCAGACGGTACCTTTACGGCACACTCCAGTGTCACCGCTCTTGGTCGAACATCACAAGTCACATCAGTGACTATTTCCTCTTCTCATATACTATAATTCATTTCCAAGTTCATCAACACACACCCTGCCTACGCACATCGGAACGCTTGTGTGTATGTTCAGTATATTATTGAGTCATTAAGTCATCATCATAATAATGTTACAACCCCGTCCCTTCACGGGACTTGGCATCCACCCCCAATTATTGCTCCTTCTCTTCCAGTTCTGTTTTATAGATCTACTCCAACTTGGAGATAGCGACATGTCCCGCTCTACTTTTTACCACCAAGAGCGTCCTGAACAGTACCGCCAATGGCGCCCTGGTCGGTGAACTGCTTGCCAATCACACCGGAGGAGGAGAGAGGGCCGCCAACTGCTTCGCCGATTTGGCCGATTGCGCCGGTCGCTGTTTTTGAAGAAATTGGATCAGATATTGATTGAGGTCGAGGTTGAGGAATGTGGGGTAGGAAAAGGAGGGGAGGGGAATGGGAAAAGAAGGGATACCAAGAGAAAAAAAAAAAAACAAAAAAAACATACCAGTGAACTGCTTGCCAATAGCACCTTCAGAGTCAAAAGCCTTGGGCTTCTCGCCAGTCTGATTTCCGAGGTGGGCGTTTGCGGGAGTGGGGGTGGCCCCAGACATGCCGCCGGTGGCCTTGGGGCCGCCTTGAGAGGTGGTAGGCTGCTGAGAAGACATATTGTGTTGTTGAGGTTTGTTGTTGTTGTTGTTGTAGGTTGGTCAAATGATCTTATTCTTGGTGTGAAGTTGAACGTGGTTGTGCTGCAATATAAGTTTCCTATTCAAAAAGGGTAAGCAGCAAGCGGACTCTTTAAATACAGGCGATTTTTTCTTTCTTCCACGAATGTGTGTGACGACATTTTCTGCAGGTTACTCTATTACACTTACAATGAAAGTGGTGACAGGTTATGATTCTCGATGATGTCATGTTGTGAGTTGACCAACACATCGCAGGTGGGCCGACCAGTGTTGCGGGGCCCCATTTTACCCCTGAGCGGGCAGGCGGGATGACCTAACTTCCGTTCTGGCCAGGTCGGCCAGCTCCACCTAATATCATCACTGGAAAGATTATTGGGACGTTTATGAGTTTAGCCGATGGTAAGTATATGATCTTGATCACGAGATCGTATTCTTGATGATCTTGGATGTAGTTGGAGTAGGGTTTGTTTATGTTGAGAAGCTTGCCAGTGCAGTGGTCCGACTTCCCAATGACGCACCGGGACCTCAGTCAACAACGAAGACTGGCGGATTTCATAGACTCATCGCTTCGGTCGATGTTCGTGTCTCTGCGCAAGCCGGCGTTTAGAGAGTCCATGATTCGAATCTGCTCTCTTCACTCTCCCGGCCGCAAGACATTATTCTTAGCGATGACGGCGCACGATCACCAATTATGAGGGCTTGAAGTAACGAAACTAGAAACATATATTACTATTGGCCTTCTCTCCCTTCTTTTCAATCTTTTAGGTACAACGGAGTCCACATGTACACCTGTGATAGACCTTCCCCCCACCGTGGCTCTCAACCCCAAACTGCCAATTAATCAGATGACAACATAACAGGATTGACCCAAATAACGAACTCTTGAAACCTCCCATGATCCTCACATGTTTTGCTCCCTTGTTCAGTCTTCTTCAGCCTCCTTGGTACACTCCGCCTTAACTCCCTCGGAAAGAAGCCGATATTGCGGTTGCGAGCCAGGGTAACCCCCCTTGCTTTGTCAGATACCGGACGCGGACCAGGACAAGCAAAGTTTCGTGGCTCTGTAGTGTATGGCCATCCGGGTGCTCCTACGCAGTAGAGATCGTCGGCAACCTGACCCACGCGTTTTACGTACCCATCTCACCATGGAAGATGCGTAATATGCACAGTAGCATCCACATAAACGCGGTTCTCAATCGTGCACGCCATACCGGGCTCGACCCTGAACATGCCGTCCTGGCCGATCGTGAACTGAGGTTCGTCACCGAGCTTCACCCAGAGCTTACCGGTTCCAATTGACACGAGCCGCGTCTGGAAGTCATCCGGGTCTATAGTAATGGTCTGGCCTGTAGAGATGGTCTTGACCTGGAACTGTACGTCGTTCCAGACTGGGACTGCATGGCCGGTTGACAGGAAGGGTTTGGAATAGGCGACGCCTGCAGAGGAAGAGGTTAGCGATTCGGAGGGTGGTCATATATCATAGAGATGAGGGTCACTTACTAATCGGTTTGTCGGTGTTTGATTTGAGGATTCGACCAGGCGCCATCTCCCACTCTTCCATATCAAACATATCCGCCGACTGGACCTCGCCGGCCGAGATAAGCGAAGTCCTAGCCGCAGCCAGGGCCGCCTGCCGTTGTGGCCGCGAGACTGCTGTTGCTGTGGTGTGTCTAGGCAATCCTCCTCCCCCCTCTCTTCTTTTCAACCAGACACCATCCGTACTCTTGGTGATTCCAGGTACTTTTGGCGGGAAAGGCGGCTGCGGTCGCATAGGAATTCCCTTGCCGCGAGAGCACGCGCCACCCTTGCTGTCATAGGTACAGTTTGCGCAGCTTTGGTAAACCCTCCTGGCTTCCGGGTGGGCGTCGGTCTTGATGGCGACGCAGCCCCCCTTGAACAATGGTCCCTGCTCCCGGCGGCATCGCGTGCACGGCATCTCCAGTTCGTCTCCTGTAACCTGGATTATCAGGGCGGCTATGTCTCGCGTGTGCTTCTCCGCGAAGGGCTCATCGGGGGTGAGCACGAGGTCGCGAACCCGTGGGAGGGAAAGGAGCTCTTTGATGTAGCCTACTTCAGGAACCTCTGCGGTGAAGGCGAGGTGTGGCTTGATGTAGTTCCAAAGAGCCTTTTGATCATCGGTCAGAGGGATGGTAGATTTCGCGGGTTCGTAGTTCCTTTGGGCGTTGTTTGGAGGCAGGGGCCGGCTCTCGGACTCAGGCTTGTCGTTATCATATTTCTGTAAAGATGTTTCGTCCTGCTTGTGGGTGGACATAGTAGAGCCGCCTTGTAGCTCAGGGGTATATCCTACCACCGACTTTGAGGTTCTTGTATCCGGTTTTGTTTGGCCAGAGTTGGGACTCGTTAACGCTTGGATCTCGTCAGTCGTCTTGCCCCTCGTTCTCAAGATACGTCGGGACCTCTCTACGCCCCAAGATTTGTGGCTGCAATACGTCTGACCAAAGTGGTAGAAGCAATTGGCACAGGAAACAATATTTGCCAGAGGACGGTTGTCCGCCTTGGAAGAGATCATAATACAACCTTTCCAAGGGCCCCTACCCTCTTGACACCTTTTGCAAGGTGTCGCAGCGGGTTCTCCCGTCAGTTGGATGATGACCGCCGATACATCCCTGGGATGAACATCCGTGAAGGGATGCGTCCGCTGCCATTCGAAGTTGATGTTCAGGTCTCGCACCCGAGGGAGGATGCTCAGCTCCCAGACATAGCCGCCGTGGGGCATCTCCCGCCCTCTATGCTTGGCCAGGAGCGGCTCGATGTATGCCCACATACTGGCTCTGTCCCCAACCGGTTCTGACGATGAAGTGGCGCGTGGGACTTTATCCAAGGCCATGGGATCATCGAGTGACGTGGAGGTATTTGCCATGGAGACGACAATGGCGCCCTTTCCTCTGGGCGTCGCTTCTTGAAACCCAGGCCCCAAGTCTGTTAAGGTTCCGTCTTGGTTGTCATAAAACATATGGCCGTGGTGGGCGGACTATACAGTGTTAGTGTCTGGACAGGAAAGTTTTGGTGCCAAACGACCCAAAAGTAATTCTTCGCCGGTGGCAACGGTAACGCTTGAGTGCGTTGAATATGTTACTAACCTTAAAATGTTGGCCCAGGTTGTGTAAGGTTTCACTAGACTTCCCACATTTCCGAACCGGACATATCCAAGGGAAGAATCCATCGACGGGTTGGTACCCATCCGGCAAGAGGGCTCCATGCGTACTACCGGGCACGCCATTCTCAATCCATTCACGATAGGATCGACCTGAAGCAGCTATGTCTGTTGGCGTATAAGCGCCCTCTTTGGCTTTTGCCTCCGACGCTGTTGGATGACCTGTTAGCGTGTCTGGAATACTCTCTTTTGCTTCTGCCTTTGATGCCGATGGATGATCTGCCGGCGTGTCCAGAGCACCTCGTATCGCATTTTTCGCCTCTTTTAACCTAAGGGCGTTGTTCTTCCTCAGGGTATCTGCAACGTGGGACATTCTGCCGTCTGCCCATCGTTGTTTCATGACGGCCGAAAATTGTTTTCTTCGAGCTTCATCCCATTCGCCACCAGCCTTGCGTTTCGTTGGCACTATTGACGTAGGCGCAGCAGCGACGATAGCTGTGGCCAGTCTGGAAGGAGTAGCAGCAGGTTGCGTATTGACCCTAAGGTCTCCAACCACTTGGGGAACAGCTACAATGTCACTGAGGATCTGAGCTGGCTCCAGCTCCTTGTCGTCGGTGTTGTGGCCGAATCCATGATTTGGCACTCGATCGTACTCAGGACTGGGCTCGTGATCGGACTCGAAGATCAGCAGCTCGTTCATGTCATCGCTATCGGCATCGTCATCGTCATCGTCATCGTTGTTGTCGTTGTTATCGTCGTCGTCGTCGTCGTCGTCGTCGTCGTCGTCGTCGTCGTCGTCGTCGTCGTGGCCGCTGTCGCTGTCGCTGCCAAGTTCTCCATAACCTCCCTCGACATTGTTGCTCATGGATTCGCGTATATAGTTCTCGATATCGGTGCTGTTCGCCTCGCTGTCAAGAGCCTCGCCATCGTCGTCGGCACTATCCTCGGCGGCGCTGCTCTCCTCGGCACTGCTCCGCACACTACTACTGTCGGTGCCCGAGCTGGAATCCGAGTGCGATTGGCTTTCATCCGTGCTGGCCTGGACAGCCGTAGTAGCGGCCGAAATAGCCGGATTTGAAGATGCCGTGCGTTCTCTGAAAGGCGATAATGGAATAAAAGCGAGCCCGCTAGTAGGGACGTTCTCGAGTCCTTTAAAGTTCAGGATCTGGGACGGATCCGCGTTCAGAGAAGAAAAGGTTGAAGATTGCAAGTTTTCAGCCATAGCGATAGTAGATATACTGCCTTCCCAGTTGGGTTATTGTATATTCTCAATTGCGACGTAGGGCGATCGTTTACTATAGTGTATTCGTATGTAGTATTTTGTCAATGTTGAGCTCGGATTTGAGATAGGAAGTGAGTGATTTTCGTTAGTGTTTGATATAATGTTAGTAAAAGATGATAAAGAAAGATTGTTGTGTGCTTATGCTTTGCGCGCGTGCATATGAGCGTCAGATATGAATCATATTAAGCAAATAGATTATGTTATATTGCAAAAGAAAGTAGATTACTAATTTATATCCAACATCATAGGTAGATAAATATTAGAGTATAATAATATAAAGTACAATAGTTTTATAGAAATAACAGAAAAACATCTATATTTAATAAATATTAATTTCAGTATTGAAAGCTCAAACATAGAATTAGCTGAGTAATTAACCTGAATTTGGACATCCCATTCAATTTGCATCTTTTAATTGTGTGCCAGCTGATTGACAGGTGATAACCAATTGATAGTGCCTTACTCATTTGAATGCAGGAGCCACTAACAACGGCGCATCGCTTGCTATCCTTCTCTATCAGATTAATACATTGGAAGTTCAAACCCTTGGACAAAGCACTTAGCTACCCTTCTTCCAGTTTCCTTTCTTTAGATTAATCCTCATTTTTTCTTCCATTGTACCTGGTATTTTGCAAATACACCTGAATAGTTGCAACAGCCAGCAATGTTGAGAATCGCTTGGCGGCTGTCTGTCGCGCCGCTCTTTTGGTCGTGCCAAGCTCCGTTTGCGCTTTGAACAAAATAACAGGGATTCTCTGCGCAACGACGGCCATGCTACAACCTCATTCGCGCGCGCTCCTTCGTTCCAATGGTGTAGACTTCAGATGAACTATGACCGTGAGCTTTTGAATGAATATCGTTCATCCAAAACGGGTTTTCAAGAATTAAGAGACCTGGACAGCGATATCAATGGCTCCCTGGGAAGGAGGCGGTTGCCTTAATCTCCTCTTCTTCTTTATCCCCAAATCGAAACCTGCTTTATTGTGCAAACAAAACAAAAAATAAGGATCATACTTCCACCCCCTTCGAAGAAGCAAAAACATCAGATGCTGAAGGAACAGAATCGCCATTTTCCACAAGCTAGGTTATCGGACCAGACCAGCTACCGCCAAATCCCTAGACCAAATCCTTCCTCTCTTTGTTCTATCTTCCCAACTCACACATCCTCCATCAGCCACTTCTCGAATATTAACCCGTCAAACCCTTACATCTCTCTGAGCCAACACGTCCCGAACAGACCGTATAACCGCCCCCACCCACCCCGTCGCAATCGCCTCATCACCCCTCGCATTCGGGTGGACTCCATCCGTGGTATACCTCGTCGCATTGAAACCCGAATACAGATCAACTGCCACCACCGGACTCTGTTGGCGAGTAACATACTGCGCCCAGATCGAAATATACCTATTCAGCATCCTGACCTTCGCCGCGCACTCGGGGCAATTCGCCGGCTCCATGGGCAAGATCTGGGCGACAAGAAGGCGAATGTTAGGGTTGACGGCGCGCATCTGATCCAACAGCTGGCCGTAGGCGTTGATGATTTGGATGGCGGTGCGATTTTGCCAGATGTCGTTGGTGCCTAGGTGCATGAGGATGATGTCCACGGGGGCGACGCCGGGGGCGGTGAGCCAGGACTGGAGGAGAGGCTGCGAGACTGGACTGCCGAGAATGGGAACGGTGTCTTGGGCAATGTCCGTTGCGAGATATCCGCCGTGCCCTTCGTGCGGCCAGTCGTAGGCGGAGCCGTAGCCGCAGTAGGTGCGGGATTGGGTGCCGACGAAGCGGATTTGGGAGTAGGGAAGGGGTGGGGTGATGTTGGTGGCGTTGAGCTTGCGGGAAAGGAGGGCGCGCCAGCAGCCCTGGGGGTTTTGGTCAGTATGTTTGTGGTTGAAGAATGGCACAGGTAGGGGAGGGAACTAACTGGATTGCCAGTGATGGAATCACCCAGGGCCATGATGCGGACATCATCTCGGACTTGTGGCTCAGCCGAGGCGAGAGAAAGGAAGCTGAGCGAGCCTACAAGGCCGCTGAGAAGTCGGATGGTCGCTACCATGTTGACTTTTCTGGTTAGAGATATGGGACGAGGCGGTTTGGATCTGTCCGAGTTGCTGAGTTGAGGTGGCCGTCCCCATCACGAACTTGGTGCTTATATAGGCACACGCAGGTGAGGGCAACATCGTGGGATGATAAGCTTACGCCTATCAACAATGCAGTCACAGAATAGATTGGATGGCCAGAACGAGTATCAAATCTTGACAACATTCCTGGCTCACAGCCGTCTCACCCTCTGAGGAATGCTCATTCATCGATCCTCCATTAATCATTGGTCCAGCCAAGCAAGGCGAGCGAATAGCCTCGGTAGAGGTAGTCACGGCTGATTTCCTGCTAAAGGCGCGTCTTCTTGAAACCCCTCTACCATCAACCGCAACATTCTCGCGGAGAAACAGGGGCTGGTCTGTTTTGCACGACCACACCTGCCCGTCTAGGAGGAGTTGATGGCCCTGACATACTCGATGACCAAGCAGATGGCATCGGCTGATTCAGAGTAGATTGTGTTCTTCTTAATGTGCGCCTGCCCGGCGCTCAGCTTATCTCTTCATTGCCAAAACAGGTCAGCTGCCATGCCCTCCGTAGCAGCTTGCAAGGAGGCTTACTGCCAGAGTCGCATTCCACTTACACTCCTCGAAGAGATAAGGCTTTCCGGCTTTCTTGCAGGCCAAAGTATGGTCTTTGATCTAAGCTGCACCAGCGGAATTGCCCAGATCCTCTAAAAAAAGACTCATTCAGTGTTAATTCCCAGACCAGACGAGTTCAAAGCCACGAACAGCTTTGCGGACAGAAGTGGAAAGGTCCAAAATCCAAATCATTGAAGTCCAGGTTTCTGGCGAAATCTACGCCTTCGCTGGTTTGATACGGGTAGCTTGTCGCGCCAGGAAGTCCAAACCCTTCATCTCCAAGGGTGATTCCAAGCTGCCGGACATAGGCCGGAATGTCAGTTGCCCACTTTTAGACAACATCCGTAATACATCCCTTGCAGCACGGCTCGTTCGCCAGTTCCCATACAAAGACATGCGTTGATATAGCATTGACAACAGCAGCTTCGTAGGCCTTGTACTGCGATTGTGCCCAACTGTTGGTGTACCAGTTGTCTCTGGAGCCTCCGAAGGCAGTCATGCATACCGGTATGCCACCGTAGTCGCTCCAGTTGTTGACAAAGTTTATGATAAGCTTGAACCCCTCGTTTCTCGGCGGACCAGGCGCTGCAGGCCATCGGGGCTGTTGTCGATCTGTTGATAGGATGAGGAGAGAAGGTGGTACCACACAGCGCCGGAAGCTGGCTTGCGAGTGACATCGTTGAATCTTTATATGCGCAGGTTCTTGAATCGAGGGGGAGATGTGGTCTAGAATAGTGTCAACATCGGCGTTGTTGGTTAGGAAACCGATACAGTACAGCTTAGTACCGGTGAAGACCGCGTTTCGCCGTCAACTGAGAAACGTGTGCCAACCGCAGACCACGTTTTGTCTTTTTTTATCCATCATTTTCTGCAAGGTCCATGATATTTTCTGAGGAGTGGCACCGAATCATCTTGGAACGTGATGTCTATCGAGCGTATTCACGGATGTCAAGGTGAAAGTCGATCATCGCCATATGTTATGGTGCGTTGAGGCCGGAGGAGGGATGCCCGGATCTCAGTTGGGGCGAAAGTAAACAAAAGCTGCTGGTGACGTGACACAAATAAAGGGGTAGCAGTAATAGAGCGGCTTAATGATCCAAATGATGCCGGTCACAGTTCAGCCAGGGCATGCCCATGCCAAGCGATCGTCCAGCGTTTGCGCCATGCTCACGGGCACAATCTAATCCTTCGCGGGGAAACAATATCGATGCCGTTGGGCGACGTCAAAGGTCTCGCAAGAATCTCCAGAGATGACTTTCTTGTCGATGTCTTTGTGCCATGATGACATTGTACGACCACAGAAGTCAGCTGGTGTCCTGTTTGAGTCAGGAGGCGTCCATCATGTCATGATTCGGTTCCTTCATGACGATGAAACGGGTGCGCCCAATCGAGATAGGTTGGTTGATGCCCGTCGTGTGTTCCGTTAGGTGTTGTCCATGGTGTCCGGCGGTCGACGTTGATTTGTTCGAAGAAAGGTCGAATCACGCGGAGGTGATGGGAAGGACAAAAGAAGACACTGCAAGTGGAAGCGAGCGGGCTGCAAGGGACCAGGGCACCACGATACAACGGGAGCTTACAGGGCTGTTCGCTGCCGCCGTACAGAGCCCAGAAGGAACTGCCCGGCCTGTACCCCGCTATTTGGGAGCGACTTCGGTTACAGATCAGGTACCTACCTCTACATACCTATCTCTAGAGCCTATTTGGAACCGTGATCCCCCCACGGCAGCCGCCAGGTCGGGCGCCTCCCCATCCCAGCCAGCCCTCGAACTCTCCTCCTCCGGGCTCGCCCACCTCGGCGGACCTGGAACATCTCCCGCTAAATCGTCATGAATGGGTGGAACTCTCCGTCTTCACCTCCACACAACCTCAACGTCCCTCACCTTCCCCTCCTCAGATCTCAGTCCTCTTATCTTGCTCTCATACACCCTCAGTATATTCTTCTCTTCCTTTGGTACTTATTGCCTCATACCTTCCTGATATCTCGGCTTGAACTTTGCGCATATTCTTTGGCTTGCTAGAATAGAGCGTTTGTCGGTAGTGGTAGATGCCCGTCCTCCGCGTCAGGTCGCTGCGCGTGGCCCCGCCTGGAGGGGAAGAAGGGATTCGGACTCCATCGCCGTACAAGTTCAAAAGCCCACTTGCCATGACAAGCTCGATCCCAGAACTCCCGGACATGCCCGATATTGGGCCTGATGACAGTTTTCGGCTCCTCATTAAGAAACTTTCCTTGTGAGCCAACATGCCTTATGAACACCATCGGTGGGGTAGCTGACAGGGAGATCGTCTTCAGATATATCGCCGAGAATATTCGGTTGCCGTCAACGTTTGAGCAACTCCGTACTACGGCTGCTGGAGACTGTTTGCGGCACCTTGTCGACCACTTGGTTCTCAACTGCGACCATCCAGCCATTGTGAATGCTTTACTGTATGTGATATCCTCTACAAGGTACCCATCTACCCAAGGACATCAGCTAATATGGTCACTACAGCGCACTAAAATGGCACTATGGCGCCATCACTGAGGATAAGGGCCTGAATGATGCCAGAGCCAGCGGTTGCGAGATTGCTGCTTGGCGTCTTCTCACTCACCTTTCCGAGCGAGAGGCTGTTGACTATTGTCTTTACGAGATCCCAGACCCAGCGCTGGAGGCTAACCGCCAAAGCGATGAAGAGGAAACATCGCAAGTCAACGAGCATAGTCCTCTACTTGCGCGCGCATGGACTGAATCTGTGGCAAATCCAAGACGCAAGCATGAGTTCCCTAATCCAACGGGTGATAACCGGAGGAACCTCTTGCTTCAATCTCTCACACGCCTCACCATGAGTATGACCGGCGAGGTCGACGACGACGGCGAGGAAGAGGATGACCCGACTGCTCCGTTCATCAACTTGAACGCCCTGGAGATTGCCGCCATTGCAGACGCCAAACGATTCCTTAGTCAGAATGTCGTTCAGAAAATCATCACCGGCATATGGAATGGCGATATTATATTCTGGGACAACTTATCCGTTCACACCGAAAAGAAGCCGCGGTTTTACAACCCCCGCACGGCCGATCCCTTTTCACGTCTTCGGGTTCCCAAATATCTCAAGTCCTTCGAGGTCGTCTTCTTTGCCAGTTTTCTGTTTCTCTACTACGCCGTCCTTGTTGAACGAAATCCGACCCGAATCACCCCCCTCGAAATCTTTCTCTACCTGTGGCTGGCTGCCTTTTCTTACGACGAGTTGAGTGAATGGATTGACGCTGGATCCATCTTCTACGCTGCTGATATTTGGGTGAGTGTAATGCTCTGTCATTTCCTCTCAGACTTGTTCGGTATGCGTGTATGTGCTAACTGTGTCTGGCAGAACATATTCGATATGGCAATCATGGCTATAGGTTTCACTTTTATGGTGTTGCGTAAGTCGAATTACCCCCAAGGTCCTTGAACGCGGCTTGCTTATTACTCATTGCTACAGGAATTATTGGCCTCGAAACGCAAAATGCAGAGCTAATAGATCTGGCGTTCGACGTACTGGCACTGGAAGCACTACTTATGGTCCCTCGCGTCTGCTCTATCCTCAGCTTGAGCCCGTACTGGGGTACTCTTATCCCTTGCCTCAAGGAGATGGCAAAGGATTTTATCAAGTTCATGGTTCTGGTTGTCATTATCTATCTCGGCTTCCTCACGACCTTCTCCCTCGTCGGGCGCGACTCGTTCCCACTGAGGGACATGACCTGGTTTCTCACCAAGATTTTCTTCGGCTCGACCTTTATAGGGTTCGACATCATGCGCCAGATCGATCCCGTCTTCGGACCGCCACTCATGATTCTCTTCGTTATGCTCAGCTCCATCTTGCTGATGGGTTCCCTTACCGGCATGCTGTCCAACAGCTTCTCTCGCGTCATCACGCATGCCCGGGAGGAGTACCTCTTCGTCTACAGTATCTACGTGCTCGAAGCATCGACTAGCAACCGACTCACGCACTTTTACCCGCCCTTCAACTTGCTGGCCCTTGTCATTTTCCGACCGCTCCGCCTATTCTTGCCCTCTGACGATAAGTTCCGTCGAGCTCGCATCATCCTTCTCAAGGCGACCCACCTACCCATCGTCTTCATCATCGCCATGTACGAGTGGATTAGGGGAACCTCTCTCAGGGGCGCCACATATAGCGCAGTCAAGGCGCCGCCGCATGGGGCGCCCATTGCCAGCCCGGCCATGATGAGGAAGCTCGCGGGTCCGCGACGCGAGATGCGTGGCCGTAGGTCGGTCACGTCTCTGCAGAGCGACCAGGCGGCGCAGAGCCGGCTGGGTATGTCGTCGATGGAGCGGCGCATCTCTGCCCATCAGGCGCGGCAGGCCGAGGAAGCCCAAGAGGATTCGACTTATGCGGAGCGAGCGACGGATGTCGAGGTCCGGATTGCAGATTTGGCAGCCAAGATTGACCGGTTGACGGAGCTCGTGATTGCTATGCAGTCGCAGCAGTCTACAACACTGGGCGACGTTTCGCTCTCTTAGTAGTAGTCCTGGACGGCGATGGACTGCTCATTAAATGACCATTACGGCGAGCCTCAAGGGTTTCATGATACAGTAAAGACGATTGGAAGGAGACTTGTGGATGACGAACTTTTATATATTACAGTACAACGCACTTATCGATTTTGTTTTAGCGTTCCACAAAACCAGCACTTAGGAGAACATACCCTATGACATGGTCTGGACTACAGGGTCCAATTAGGTGCCGGTGGCATATCTTGATGGATTAACATCTTAAACAAATACATATAGAAAACACATAGCCATTAGACAAAAGCCTCGATAATGCCATGTGCATACAAGCCTCTTGATGGCACCTATAGTCCAGCGCATTAACAGCCGAAAACCCGAGGCCTCACTCAACAACAGGCTTTCCTTAACGTTAATACGGGATGTTGAGACGGTAGTACTTAGCGCCACTTTATTTTTGCTTCTTGCATCTTCCGCGACATCAAACTTGTCATTGATCAGCGGAGTGTCGGTCAATTCCTATGCGTTCAGCAGCTGCTGTCTCATTAATAGCCAGCTGTGTTCTTTGATCTTGTCAATGCGACGTCTGGGCGGCGGAATGCGGTGAAGAAATCTGCACCGCTTTGAATGTCGTTACATTGCAGCATTGTGCAGATGCACCCAAGCTACCGCACTGCCACAGCGCGCGTGTTGCTGCGTGGTGGTGGCACCGATACGATAACCGATCTGGTCTCCGTCCGATGGAGTAAAAAGCACAACACCGAGTAATCGTGGTTTGTGCTACACAGGATATCCAAGAAAAGAAACATGGGGGGGAACAGGAATGGAAAGTGAATGAATGTCGTTCAGAATCAAGATACGTACTGTGGTTCCCATTTCACCATACTAGTGAAGCTACACAATGAGTGGGACAGGGGTACCTCTACCTTTAAACGAAGTCCTGGGAGTTTATCAATGTCTGACCTTTCTCCGAAAAAGTATTATAAGTGATCAGACAACCGATATACACTACTGTGGTGGAATGGATCGGTACATATATTGAACCCGTGGGTCACTACGGTGGCCCAAGTGTGACTTAGGTCGTTTATAAAACTGGTCCAAGCTCCCATCTGTAGCCAGGTGACGGCCATTTTATATTAACGCCTCTACCTCACTTACAAGATTTAACACTCATGCCCAGACCTTGAACT